TTCCCCCTTGAAACTGTCTTTCCTTGGTTTCTATGGCACAAGCGAAATGATAGGAACTACGATTTATATCGTGCACAACATAGTGTTCTGTGGCTACACAGAGTGCCTGTAATCTTCACCCTAACACGAAAAGTAGAGAGTTCCGTGAAGAAGCTAAGAAATCTGGTGTAGAAGGTTGAGAAAGCTTCTGTGTGATCACGTGGCTACAAATGATGGAGGGAGAGCTTGAACTGTGCTCTTTCCGAGTCCAAAGCCCAAGCTTTCCCCACTTAAAACGTTTATCTTTCCCAGATTTCCTCTGGCCTCTGTGGCGGCTGGTTTTTGTGTCCTCTGGGGGCTCATCGTGCTCTGATACCCCACTAACGCCGGCGCTGTCCAGGACTGGGGTTTTGGCCCTTTGCTTTTCTTCATTCAGTCTCGTTGGAGCATCCTATGTGTGGCGTGGACTCTGCCACAGGTTATAGACGCCTCGGCCCAGCTCTTCCTGAGCTTGTGGCCCAAGTGCACCTGTGTGAGGCATTTCTAGCTGGTTGTTGCTCAGGCTTTTCTACCCGATTGTCCCACAGGAAGGCTGTGGCGCAGTAGGCCCTCCTCTCTCCCTGTCCCCCTCTGTGCCATCGGCGTAGAGCCTCGCGGTGGCTCTTCTGGACCTTTGCAGTTACGCTCCCACCACTTCTCAGACTCTGGTTTTGACTCCATCCAAGCCATCGTCCATCTCACGGCCAGAAATGATCCTTGTAACAGAAAGCTCTCGTCCCGTCAGACCAACTCAGAATTCCGCCGTGCTCTCGTGTGGCTCCTTCCCACGGTCGCTGACGGCCTCGCGCTAACTTACCCGCCCTCCCCACGGCCCACCACCTCCCAGCAGCTTGCGTGGGTTTGGTGACAGTTACTTCTGGGTTTGTTTTTCGCAGCCGTACCACCTGCATATGCATTCCTGAACAACATCGCTTACCTGTTCTTGAACTTTATGCAAAGGTAATCACACCACACGTTCTGGTGTCTCGCTGCTTTCATTCGCCAGTGAGTCATCCACATAGTTGTGCGTTGTTAGGTTTCCGAGTTTTTATTTCTGTAGAGAGGCATTTCACGATGTGAATTAATGATATGCCATGTATGTATTAACGGACATTTGGTTTATTTACAGTTTTTGGCTATTTTGATGCCTCCACGGCCTTGTACACTTCTTTTGGCCCCCTTGTGCATGAATTTCTTCAGGGTACAGATCCAGGAATGAAATTGCCTGTCACAGGGCGTGTATATCTTCAACTTTACCAGATAATGTCAAACCGTTTTTCAAAGTTGGGGTCACAATTTACATCCCACCAGTGGTGTAATGAGTGCTCATTGATTCATATATTTGGCAGCATGCAGTACTGTCAGACTTTACATTTTTTACTGATGTGATTGGCGTGGAGGGTATTTTATTGTGGTTTAAATTTGTGTTTCTCTCTTAGTAACGTGGCCGATCACCTTCTTGTGTTTATTGATCAGCTGGATTTCCTCTTAGTGAAGGACCTATTCAAGTTTTTCCTACTTTTCTCATGAGTTGTTTTGTAAGTTTTTTTCATTCTGGAAATGAGTCCTTTGTTGGTTATATGTGTTGAAAATAAATTATACTGTAAAACCACACACATTGAAGATTAATTGATTACAGTATTTTTTAAATAATTATTTTCTTTTTTATAATCAAAAAATTTTTGATTACGGTTGACATATAATATTATATTAGTTTCAGGTGTACAGCATAATTAGCAATTAGACATTTATATAACTTACGAAGTGATCAACTTGATAATTCTAGTACCCATCTGACACCATACGTGGTTATTACCATATTATTGACTATATTCCCTGTACTGCGCAGTACCTCTCCATGACTATTTTGTAACTGCCAATTTCGATTACAGTATTTCTCTTTACTTTAGTACTAATAACTAAATACTAAATAAGTAGAAACAGAGTAATTAGAAAATGAAGAATAAGTATACATTACTTCAAAATTAATCCTCTCCCCTTCTTCTCTCCAGGTGTTATTATTGTGCCCAGTGCTGGTGTCGGTATTGTCCTGGGAGGCTACATCATAAAAAAGTTGAAACTTGGTGCAAGAGAATCTGCAAAACTAGCAATGATCTGCAGTGGTGTGTCTTTACTGTGTTTTTCAACCCTGTTCATTGTTGGATGTGAAAGTATCAATCTAGGAGGTATAAACATACCTTACACAACAGGGTAAGTGTCCTGGAAGAGCCTTGCTGTGTCATCACGAATGTGATTTAAGTGTTCGTATTCCAGGGGCAGACTTGTGCCCCTGCCCTCCAAGCTGGTGTACCAACGACAAAACAAATAAATAGTAGTCTCCCGAATAACCCTACTGCCCAGGGGTAATAATTTAAAAATTCTTTTTAGTCGTCTCTTCTGGTATTTGCCTCTCTACTTTTAAGGCATATTCTATGAATTAATGAAACTGAGGCATTACTTACGACTCTCCATCTTGGGAAGTGAGGACTTCAGCTTTCCCTTTGCAAGCTGTCACATCCTTTGTTGACGTTTCGCGTCACGATCGTGACAGCTTTGTTAGCTGCTGAGGCAGATGTAGCGCATCGTGATTGGGTTTCCTTTTTCATACACACAGGTTGTCCTAGAATTAATAATTGCCTTATTTTCATCTCCTCTGTTTTCTTCAAATCTGCATCTAGCTTCCCCCATTCATTCTCTAAAGGCTCAAAATATCTCAGTATGAATTTCCACCTGTCTGCTGGACTCATGGCTCCATTTCCCCAGCTCCTGGAACCATCCATGTCAGAGCCCGAGTCCCCCAGTTCTCATCAGGACACAATGCGTTCGGGGACACGGTGCTGCCCGGCTGTACCCTACGAACCCCATTAGCCTCTCTCCGTACTGAGTCTTTGTTTTCCGGACTCTGTAGATGCCTCTTTTTTGATTTGCTCCCTCGTTTTGTGAGAGCACATCCTTCAGTAGCCACAGGAAGGCTGTAAAGGCTGTAACTTTTTCTTGGAGACTTTTCATGAAATAGCCTTTTCTTTTTTCTTTTTTGGTAACTGTTATGTTTTATGGCCAAGTTTTTGGCCGGGTAAAGAATTGTGGATGAATCATTTTCACTCAGAATTTAAAAAATTTTGCTTATTGTCGTCTAATTTCTTATGTTATCGTGGGGAGTCTGGCTTGCCTTTTCCCCAGTCCTTTATATGTGACCTATTTTTCCTTCTTGGGAGCTTCCATTTACTCCTGATATTCCCAAATTTCACCATGATATAACTTTTTTTTTTTTTTTTTTGCTGGACACTGGTGAGCTTTCAATGTCTGGAAACTGTGTCCTTCAGTTCTGTTTATATATTTTTATTTTAATTTTGTTGTTTTTCTCACCGTCAGTTTTTCTCTTCTTTATCCTTCCTTGATCCTCTACGTTTCTTATTCTTCATTACCTATTTAAGAACTCATATTTTGTCCTACTTTTTTGAAAGAGTTTTCAACTTTCTTTTCCCAGTCTTTTATTAAATTCTTTTGGAGGGAGGCTATTATATTTTTATTTATTTGTTTGTTCGTTTGTTTGTTCATTTTGGCTATTATGTTTTTAATTTCCAAAGTTTTTTCTTGATTTTTGATTGTTTCTTGCTTCTAGCCTTCTTGCTTCATGGATGGAATATCTTCTGTTATTTCTCTAACATTAGAATTTATTTTCTTTCCTAAATTGTCTCTGGAGCATGAGTGCCTACTTTTTATTTATTTTCCTGTCTTGATTGTGTTGGAAGCTTCTCTTGAATTTCTGATGATCCTTAGCTTTCTCTTAGTATTGAGGGATGAAGAGTTGAAAAGATAAGTAGGTGCTCTGTGTCTGAGGGCAGATCATTCGGTATATCTCGCTGTAGGATAATTAGAGGGAGGACAGCTGGCGTTTTCATTGGGGTGCTCAGTGTCAGAACCTGAGCTCTTACCTCTGAGGTGCTTCAGCTCCTCAGAAGGATGCTCCAGTCTCTCGGCTGGGGCTGTGTTGGGGGTGGGTTCAGGAGGGACTGTAAGCCAAACTGCTGGCATTCTAGAGCTGAAGGGTAGTGGCAGGAAGGGCCTAGGTCCTACTGTTCAGTTTGCACACTTAGCTATTTCCCCTGTCATCATTCTAGGATCTCACCAGAGGTCTCTTTTATGTGTGGTGGTCTTATGCACAGCTTTTTTTGGTTCATTTTCTCCAGGAAATAGAAGAGTAGAAGAAAGAAAGTACTAAGTAGAATAGGGATGGGAATCCCTTAATATTGTATCATATTTGGACCACAACTTTCTTGCGTTGAGTTCTAGAGGCCTCTCCTTCTTCCTCCTACTGCTGGCCTTCGTCATGGCCATATGCTTTTTTTTTTTTAAGTTCTCAATCACTGTTTCTGTTTTATTGACTCCTTTTTCCTGGAACTCTCCATCCTTTGCTTCAGTTGAGCTGGTTGCTTTCTTGGCATAATTTATATCCTGGGACTACTTTTCACAAATCTTGATTGTATCCACTAGTTTTTGTTTATTTGTTAACTCATTTTGCCAGAGAAAAATTTTTGGATAACTTCCTAGGGAAGGAGACATGGGAAGAAAAACTTTCTGAGCCTGTAAGTATATTAAAGTGTCTTTATTATTCTCTCACATTTAAATGAGAGTTTGAGTGGGTTTAGAATTATAGGTCAAAAGGTTGTTTTTCTGAGAACTTTGAAGCCATACCTTTATTTGTAATCTAACATTTAATGTTGCTGATAAGAAATTTAATAGCTGTCTATGGCCATACCATGCCTGATCTTGTCTGAACATGCCTGATCTTGTCTGATCTCAGAAGCTAAGCAGGGGCGGGCCTGGTTAGTACTTGGATGGGAGACCACCTGGGAAGACTGGATGCTGTAGACATTAAAAAAAAAAAAGAAAGAAAAGAAAGAAAAAGAAATTAAATAGCAGTCCCAGTTCTCATTTCTCTGTGGCCAACTTTATTTGGAAATTTTTAGGATATTTTTTATTCAAGGTGTTCTGAAATCACATAAGAAATGGTCTCCCTCAAATTTTGTCCTGGCTGAACCCGTCTAATGTCACTTCTTCAATGAGTCTTTCTCTCTCTGCTCAATCTAAGGGAACCCACTGACCCCTCATTCTTTTCTTTCTTTCAAGTTTACTATCTACTATATTTTTTCTTTTAAAATTTCTTTTATTACAATTGACACTCAATATTATTTTATATTAGTTTCAGGCATATAGCATAGTGGTTAGACATTTATGTAATTTACAAAGCAACCCTCTCCCCCAATTAGTCTAGTGCACTATACTTGTTTATTACCATATTATTGACTATGTTCCCTATGCTGTACTTTACACCCCCATGGCTATTTTGTAACTACCAATTTGTATATCTTAATTCTATCACCTTTTTTTCACCCAGCCCCCCAATCTCCCCCACATCACGCAATCACCAGTTTGTTTTCTGTATCTATGAGTCTGTTTCTGTTTTGTTTGTTTGTTTGTTTGTTTTGTTCTTTAGATTCCACATGTAAGTGAGATCATTGGTCTTTGTCTTTCTCTGTCTGACTTATTTCACGTAGCATAATGCCCTCTAGGTCCACCCACGCTGTTGCAAATAGCGAGATTTCATTCCCCTCACTCTTTATCATATTACGCCTTCTTAGTTTCCTCTTAGTACTTAACCCCTATCCAAACTTATCTTTTTAAATTATTTGCTTTGCTCTTGTCTCTAAACTATGAGCGTCTTGAGAACAGTTACTAGCTGTCTCCATGATAGTTGTATCCCCACCATCCCAAACAAAGCGTGATGTTTGTCGCATGAATGAATGAACAGACGAATGAGATCTTGGCACAGGGTTTTGTTCATTCATTGTATTAGGCACTCTCTGAACCCTCTTAATCTAACGTGTATGTTTGTCTCTTTTTTATCCCAGGAAATTTCTCTGCCATAGCTTTGTCCGTTCTCTCGTCTTTGTTTTTTGTATGTTCTGCAGGATTCCTGCTATTCAGATGTTAGAACGTGTAGACTGGTTGTCTCTGTGTTTAATTTATTCTGGTTTTCTTTTTGCTATGAGAGATTTTTCCAAACCTTGTTCTCTCTTTTTCATGCACATTTTTTATTTTGAGGATACTTTTTTTTCTTTGTTGTATTGAGTGTTCCCTTTTCATAACATCTGATGTTTTAGGGAACAAGATCTTTATAGATCTCTGAGTATATGTAATTAGAAATTTTTTTTTTTATTTTATTTCTATGCCTTACATTTTATCATTTGATTGTAAAGGTCGATTTCTTTGTTTATTTATTTTGGGCTTTAAAGATTGACGACACTCAGTCTAACATCTCTCAGGTTATGTGCCCCAAATAGAAGAATGAAAAAGTTTTACTGAGTTGTCAACATCTACAGTAGAAGCTTGGTTTAAAAAATGTCTTCCAAGTCCTCTAGAACAGAGCTTTCTGATGAATTTCTAGGCTCTTAGTCGAGGATGGAGGTGGGCGCAGAGAGGTGGATGGAGGCACACGGTGACGCAGTTTTCTGTCCCTCTGAGCTCCAGTACGTCTGTTGTTTTCAGCGTCACCTTCCCTTTTGTCCCCTGTCACCTCTGCTGAGTTTCACCACAGAGCTGTGTGGAGGTTCCATGGGCTGAGCCGGCTCCTCTCCCACATGGCATCTGCTCATGTCACACAAACCTATGCCTAGCCACGTGCTCTTTTCACAAAGTCTGCTTTTCCATTCCTCTTTGCTAGTTTATTTCTTTTAATCTGCCTTTTATGTTAAGTGCTTTCTCAGATGGGACGGAAAGCAGACTCAGTGGTTTATTAGCTTTGAGACTGCAAGTCGCCTCAAGACTTTTAAATCCCTTGCTTAACACCACGTCCGTCTTGCCAATACTGAATCGGCTGAATCCGGGCTCCCCAGTGTGACTGGGCAAAAGTTATATAATTGTGCTGATTGGCTCCATTACAAATTTATGAGTTCCAATCTTAGCAGGCCCTCATCTTTGCTGAGAATCCATTTCCTTGGCTGTAGTTAGCTTCCTTTCCTATGCCCCATGATGGTTGTTCCATTTTTTAAAAATCCTTTCTTCAGGTTTTTACCCTAGTCTTATTTTTCTTATTGTACAACCTCGTATTCTACATTATTGAGTAAACAGAGATCCCAAGAATGAATTCCTTGAACTTCTTTTCCCCTCTCTCCTCCATCTCTTTTGTCAAAAATCGTGTTATTTTTAAA